CAAAGAGGAAGAGAAAGAAGGTGGCAATGAAACTGTTAAAGCCAGATTTCTCTTGGGTTGGTTATGGCTCATCCTGTGTGTTCTTGACATTCTGACAGATCTGTTCAAAAGAGTAGAGGCACCCCAAAAAATCAAGGCCAGGGTTTTGTTATTACAATTGCTGCCTTTGAAGAATTAAAATACAGAGGTGGACTTACTCAGAGGAAAATGCTGATCCCGGAGCCATACTGTGCTGACTGGACTACAGGAGCTGTGTTTGAGCATTCAGGCCTGAGGTCATCCCTATTTGATATTAATTCTCTGCATAGGATGGTTCTCTCTAATATTTTACAAGGTAGAACTCTTTGGGAAGGAGAAAGAGAAAGCAATTATGAGAGGCATATACCATATAGAAAGGAACAGAAGAAAAGCCTGGGTCATGATTGCCTTTACAACAGGCAGCTGCAGGATCCTACACATAGGCAATAGCAGTACGAAGCTCCCCTCCCTGTGGTGCAGCAGATGTGGCCAGCAAAGACTTTGAGGAAGACTCAGCAACCTGGTGGGTATCAAACAGCCCTGGAGATGATCTTTTACAATTGTTCTGACCATCTTCCTAAGGCTCACGCTGGATCAAGTACGCACAGATTTCTGCTGGACAGAAGAGGTACAAGCACGAGGAAAGAGAGAAACCAGGCGGAGCTTGCCTTTCCCCCTTGTACAAACACTGCACGAGAGAGACCTATTTCAGAAGGATAGGAAAAGGGATAGTATTAGGAAATGGGAACAAGGAAGTAGGAAATAGCACTCTATCAGCAGGAGCAGTGCTCCATGAGCTCCGGCTGAGCAGACAAAAGGCAGCAGAGAGTCTTCAACTTACTAAATTCAAATCAGGCAACTGCCAGCTCCCAAAGCAGCTGCAATCCTGGACCTGTCTCTCATCAATTTGCCCCAAATCTTCCCCCAGGCATGGACAACTTAGCTCTCCATGAACCCAAACTGAACCGGATTGATAGCTGCACTTCTAGAGCTCCAGTCACTAGAACAAGAATTAGACATCTGACTTGATGTTAATGAATAGATCTTAAATGTGAAGCTAAGCATAAAGCAAGCAGCTGAAGTCAGGCTGAGCGCAAGGACTCTTGCTACATGTGGCGGCAAAAATCTGCTCATCTGTGTAAGCCTCTGTCCTGCTCGTTCTCTGAGAGACCGCTGTGCTAATGAAAGTTTACTCCATCCAGAGCAGGCTGCTTTCTTGCTCCCCTCTCTCCCTCCCATACTCTGCCTCTCTGCTTAATAGCTCATCTCACAACCCACGGAATTCCTGGCCTCTGAGGCCAGTTTATATCCAATTTCCAGTCTGTCAGTGTTGTCACACTGATGGGCATCTGCTCCAGGCTTCTTGCCTTTCCCAGACCCCCAGCCCACCAACACTGGGGCAATTCCTCACCACACTGTTCACACCTCCTACAAGTAACTGCAAACTCCTCTCGGAGACCAGGTGACAAGCGTGTCCTCCTTCACTTCCCCTTTATCCTCCCCCTCCCCTTGCTTCTTTCCTGACATAACTAACTCCACATGGTGCTTCTCGAACTGGAATTCTGGTCTCTTTGGGGTCTGAGATTATCCCTAAAATGACTGGAGGAGAGGAAGCCTGTACAGACTCCTTTTCGCTTGCATAAACCGAAAGGACAGCCTTCTCCTCTTCCTCCTGCTGATTTTTAAAATAGAGCTATCAGTTTTCCATATAGTCATCCTGCCTGACTTAATGAGCCATTCTCTTCAAATACTTCACATTAACATGTTTATATATTTGTTTGCCTGGCTGGGTTCTTTAATAAGTGTGCCTTTGGTTCAGGTGCTCCCAGCAGACCGCTGCTCTGCCAGGCTGCAGGAAGCCCTCCATTCATTGCAGCTGCGTCCCCAAATTACGCTCTGCGACTGATTGCTTTTGGGGCAATTGCTCAACTGTAATAAGCAGGAACTTAGATAAATTGGACGTTTTTCTACAGAACCCATTAACACCGTGCCTCGGAGAGGCTGGAATCGGTCTCATTCTTAGCAGTTTTGTTTCTGCAGTATTAGCTGAAGATCATCCCAGCAGGAGGATTATTTAAGTGTAGCGGCTAGATGAAGATATCCTGCTAACCTAGGATGTGGCTAGGAAGGCTGATGTTAGAGATGCAGGGGGCACTGATAGGTTTGATAGGATAGCCCTAAAAGAAGGGGTGGACGGTAAGCTGATTTTATACAGTTTTCATTTTAAACAAAGGCTCCTGGCAAGGCAACCCCATCCTTGCCAGAAAAGGGATGTCTGAGCTGGCTTATAGACTCTTTGATGAGGTCTTTTTCCAATGTCAGGCTCATTTCTGTGACTGCTGCTAGAAGATTTGCACCTGCAGGGCTTTTCTTCTCTCTTTCGCCCCTGTGCTGGGTAAACTTGAGTTTCAACTGAGGTAGCAGCCGCAAGTACGCTGGCAGTGAAAGTAAGCCTATCATCTACTGTACCGACATTGTTGAAAGCTTCCTGTGAAATTGGATTAGCACTTAAATGTTGTGTGATGAAGCTTCATGTTCCAGGTTTTGTAAATGCTCTCAAAGAAAAAAAATCACTTGTCAAACTCTTTCCATATCGATTGGGGACAATTATAATATCACCAGATTAATTACAGTGTTTCTACAATGCTCTCCTCTGATTCTACTATTAAAACACAGCAGAAATCAGAGTCTGTTTTGACCTTTATTCAGAGCCTCCTGTTAAAGTGACTTTCACAACAGAACCAATTTGTCACATTTTATTTGTACTTTAATTTTATTATTAACAGATTAATGAAGCTGGTAATGGGTTTCCCGATGCTCCCTTTGGAAACGTGAACTATGTCCCTTCCTTACATCAATCTGCTGTCAGCCCACGAAGTGCCTTTGCAAAATGCTATTAACTGTTACCAGAAGCAATTAGTCAAAATAGCAAGTCAGCTTCAAAAGGAGAGACTCCAGATTCCCTCAGTGCGTTAGGAAAAGCGCATTAGTAGGATTTAGTCTTGCCAGCAGACACAAGCTTTAGGCCCTGCAGTAGGTGTCTGAGTTAATGACACGTACAAATGCAAATGTATCAGACTTTAATTTGCTTGAAGGAGCAATGCCAGGTTAAAAAAAAAAAAAGAAGAAAAAAAAGAAAAAAACGCTTTCTGGTGTCATTAACAGCAATCCCCATTGTGCTAGAAATACCCACGCTCTATTGTAAGATATTCTCCATGCTCCAGCCTTAAAAATCCGTGAGTGAAATCCTGGCCCTCCTGAAGGCAGTAGGAGACTGCTCGTGACAACACTGAGGCCAGGCTTTGTCTTAATTTTCTGGCCCAAACAATTATTTTAAAAGTATTCTCCCTCACCCTCCAAAGCATCAAAGTCCAACCCCTTCCCAGACAGCTCCCTTTTTTATGCCCGTGCCAGAAACTCACAACATAATTTCTAGAGGGACACGCGTGAACCTAGCTCAAGCATAATTTCCCCCATTTGGCACCATCATTATGCAGACAGCTTTATTGTCTGGTCAGCACTCCAGCATGGGGCTAACAAAATTACATTATCATACACACACAATACACAAAATGTGCTCAATAAATGGTCCCTAATAGGATGAAGTAGGAGTTTAAACTCTTTCAAGGCACTAGCTAGCACCTAGTTAAAAAGCCAGCAGCCCTCAGCTCCCTCACCGCTGCCCTGGATGAATTGACAGGGAGGAATCTGGGGCAGGTGAAGCATCAGGTATAATATCCTGCATGCCCAGTGAAGTTTCAAGCATATGCTCTGGCATGCCTACCTGGCACCTACAGGCTGCTTTCCAGATTGGACAGACCAACAATTGCCCCCTCCTCGCTCTCTCAAATGTTGGAAGATGATGTTATCAGTCCTTTTTTCCAGTCCATTGCTAATTACATGTGTATTGCATACATGGGTCCAATTAAAGGGGGAAGGTCATGAAAACAACAGAAATACCACAGATTATGAAAACCAAAAAGATTATCCATTTGTCCTCAGGACTGGACAATGGGGTTTCTGTGTCTATGCAGAAGGCGAATCTTTTTCATGTTTTTTGGCCCTTGTTTCTTCAAACGCGGTCCCACCTCCCTTGAGCAGTTGTGGTGAAGCTGCAGCGAGGGGCAAACTTTGGGCTCAGTTCACATGCCTCTCACAACCATGCTGCATGCTGATACTCCCACATCGGGGGTTTTTTGGAGGCAGAGAACAACTCAGCATCAGACCTGGCTGACATTTTTCCTCAAAGAAAACATAAACAACTGAACCCCACCCAGGGACTTGGACAAACTATAGTCTGGATAAAAAGCCACCCTTAATTCTGCCAAAACCTCATTGATTAAGAATATGCAGACCTAATGATTTTGCTCAGTATTTGCAGAGCATATTCCTGCTGGATATCCTTTCCTCCATTGCCTTCAAGTCAGTGTTCACAGTGCATAAGGTTAAAAGTGTTTCTTTTCCCTTCCAAGTGCAGAAGGCTAATAGAAGGGTTGGAAGTCTAGGACTAAAAGCCTGATACAGTCCACTCTAAGATGTAAGAGCAGCACATTTTATCTTCCTTTTATATGAGCTTAATGTCAGAAAAAGGACAGTCCTTTGGTCCTTCATTCAGCTATTTCCACTGACTGAAGGAACCACTTCTTGAAAAAACACAATATATTGTTCAAACACTCCCATAAAAATGGTCTCTCTAACTATCCAAACACATTGCCCATTGTCTTAGATCAAACATGACTCTTATTCTTAAACATAAGGATTAAAAGGCACCCATTAAAAGGAGAGTTTAAAATTCTATTTTAAAAAAAAGTTCAGAATCTTAAAAGACTAATTATTTGTGCAATCTTCAAGATCAAACACTGCTGAAATAAAGACTTTTACTGCTTTATCAGATAAAACCTGTGTTCAAAGATTGCAAGGGGAGAAGAGACTATTAAGATAATCTAGTTTGACCTCATGACCTTAGGTTTTGGCATTTCACTGGTGCAGAATCTTTTCAGTTGTTCATATAGCTAAACGGAAAAATGAATAAAACCATCAAGAACACAACAGACTGCATAAACTTGAAAAAAAACCCACGTGTTTTCATGTTCCTTTAATTTGTGTGTTTGTAGGCAAGGCTCAAGACTTAAATGGATAGTACCAAGTCCTCCGCTGATGCAGTTGGTGCAGCTCTTGCTAAAGCTTAGGGATGTCATTTTCCATCAGATGAGGATCTAGTCTGAAGTTTCCAACTGCAAAGGAGAACTAAGTACAAAAGTGCAAATACTTAGAAAGGCTAACTTGTAGAAGACTCTGGGTAAACTCAAAGTCTCTCTCCTCTTTTCTTCTTTTTGTCTTTCTACTGTTTCTTTTATAACAAGTGCTTAGGATTGTGTTCACCATGCCAATTTTCAGCAGACAGGAGGGAGAAGCTGGGATGCATTTCTTTGTGTGTGTCTTTTCTAATCTGTTTGAGCTGTCTGATGTCTTCATATCTAATACATTCTGGATCTTTGAACTGAGTTGGAGGATGTCTCAAGGAGCAACAATGATTCACAGGAAAACAGGATATCCACAGGGGAGCCAGTTACCCAGTCCAGCAGAATTAATCAGCATTAGGTGTGTGAGCTCTTGCTCTGAAACACTGTAAATAAGAAAGAGTCACAGATGATTACAGGTATGGGAATAAACAAAGAAAGAGAGAAACACAATTAAACCCTTAAGCATCCAGATGAAAACATGACTTCTGTTTTGCAAAGAGGCACGGTTTCAACGTTTGCTTCTGTTCTGGCTCCCAGACTGTTTTTGCAAACCAGGGACACACCTAACACTGGCTAACAGGTCTGAAATACAGGACGCTGCCTTCCTGTGCCCGAACAACCCAACAGCCTGGTTGCAGCGCAGCGCTCTCCCTGCCTTGCTCTCTCTTGCAGCCTGGTTCCTTTCTCTCCTGCAGCTGGCCTAGGCTAGAGCATGGGAGCTTGGTGCAGCCTCCTGGGAAAAAGGCATAACTAACGAAGGTGCCCACTTACCGGGGAGCTGAGGGGCATCCCCTCCCTTGCTACGTAGTCCCTGGCCGACGAGGAGAGAGCTGGTGGAGCACGAGTGCGCTTCAGCCTCGCACGAGAGGATGGTGACTACATCCTTCCTTGTACCCCTCGGGGTGAGCGGCAGAAGGTGCCACCGCTGCAGTATTGGTGGCCGAGTGTATAAGTGGACATCACGATCTCCTTTTCCTCGCGCCCACATTTTCAGCGTGAAGCCCTTGTGATTGCATTGTATAAAGGATACGATCTCCCTGCACACAGCATGCCTGAGGCATGGAGAGCCTCACAGAAGCAAACTACCTTGTTGCTAGATCCTGTGGAGGAGAGCTGGGTGCCAGAAGGGCAGCAGCTCAGGCTGGGGAGTTTTTGAGTATTAGCAGGAACAGATCTGTACCAATTTTCTGTTCAAACAGGGAATTTTAAATTCATGTCAAAATTCTTTCTGATTTGTCAAAAATTTCTGTCAAAAGGTGCCTTTTAATCCTTCATTTTGACTTGATATGCCTTGGTCATAAGGGATGGGAAGGGGGGACTCTCAAGATAGTGGCTTTCCACTTAGCCGCTTCAGGCCTGGGTAGGTCCTGTTGACGGTGCCCAACTCCTTTTTCAAACCCTGCACCTGCCCGAGGCCCAGCACTGAGCAAAATCCCTGCTGGTGCGCGGTGGCCCTGTGCTCCTGGGACACGGGTGGATGTTGGCGGTGATGCTCCCTCCGTGCTGGTCCCTCACTGCACGTGCACGTCCAGCGATCGCTCCTGCCTCGCGCAAGCGTCCTGGGGAAAGCCCCTCATGGAAGCAGGACTGCTGCTGTGATGGGGAACGACTCTTAACGGTCAATGACTTTATTAAGAGAGCTGCTGTATATGAGATGCAACTGTCACCTATGTCAAATGTTTTGTTTCTCAGGAGGAGGAATCCAACCGTAAGGTATTTGGGTACCAACACCAAAGCACCTTAGACCTGAATGACCTGCAAATGGAACTTCTGAAGCCCAAAGGGATGTTGTAACCACCTTAACTTAACAAAAAGAGGAAATGCTAGGGGTATTTGATTTTACAAACAGCCTCCAGTTGGCCTGTTTCCAGCACAAATGCCTCATGCATGGTAATGGACTTCAAACACACTAAACAGTGTAGCCACAAAACCAAACAGGCCTTAACATTTGACCTTATTGGGGAAAACAAGCCTACTATTACCAAAGAAAACTAAGCATGCCTAGCTAATTGACTCATCTTAGGACAAGTTTTGTTTCCATGACTGAACCGTAGGAATGTAAAGCCTTGCCATCTTTCGGCCAGCATGGTTTCCTTAGATCTCACATGGAGTATCTGAAAATCACCAGCCACCAGCCACCTCCTAACATTTTGAGTAGGCTGGCCAGTATAGAGAGGAGAAGCGGAGGGGCAAACATAACGCTAGCAACACCTTTGCCATAAGGTGGTGTTTGGTTTTTTTTTGATTCACCATTTCTGCAACAAAACACGAACATCAATTAATTACATGCTGTTACATCCTTGTTGCTCTTTGCTCATCCACCCACGGACATTCCACATAAAATTACCTAATAATCAATCTATCTGAAGTATTTTAAAGTAGCTTGTTTTTATCCTAAGCCAGCAATAGATTTAGCAATCCAGTGTCTAGACCTAAGACAGTGGTCTCACCCTCAAAGATATAAGCCATAAATGGTTTCTGTGTGGTCTAAGTCTCTGGTATTTTATGTATCATTAAAAATGGCCATCTGTAGGTGCTGAGACCCCTTACAAGCAAAGGAAAATTCCTCAAGACATGGAAAGACAATTCTAGCCACGTTTTGTTTTTTAAGACATTCATAATTTAACATTCACAACTGGAGTCACCTAAGATGGATGACACCTATTGTTCATATTATAAACATGCAAGCAAGGTAAGGATTCCCTGCTATGAGATGTAACCGGTCTCAGAGGATCTTTCAAAAGCAACAGCAATGGCCTGGCAGATAAATCAGCTGAAGGCTATCTTGAACAAGAACTCTTACTTGTAGATTGTCTGGTTTCCCTGGCTTTTTGCAAATCACTCATGCTAAAACTGAGCATTTTTTATTCTGTTTTGATAAAACCATCCCCATGTTAAACACACGTTTGAAAGGCAGTTTACAGGTTTAAGCTAATGTGTTTATAAAACCTTAGTGAGGATTATCTTGCAAAAAATGAGGACTTCTGGAATAAGCTGTATAGTGACAAATTCATTTTATATTCTGTTTAACATACATGTCAGTAAACTCAAGGCGAGATAAATCTGTTAATTAAGAAGCCATACAGAATGTTTAGCTAAGTGTAAAGCATGGTGTGTCTGTTTTATGATGTATCTTTGGTTTTGGGGTGGGCCAGACTCTGTTCAGCCTATGTTGTCCGAGATGAAACGCATGTGATGTGCATTTGAATTTGCTTGTATGCAAAACACTGCTGTCAACTTTCTGGCAGGGGACTGGCTGATGTGGACCAACTGTGGGCTGCTCCAGCCTCAAGGCATAATTTACAGCAACCTGAAGCTACAGCAAGTTACTTGAGAAGTGAAAGGAGCAAAAGTGTGACCAGCAGCAGTAATCAATGCAGGGCAGGGCATCCCTGAACCTAGTAAGTTTGTTTTGGCTATGGCCCAGAAGTTGGGAGTTGCATCTGGGGATGTAACGCTACAGATCAAGAGATCTGAGGCCAGTTTGAGCAAAAGTGGCTGTCTCTGGTTTAGGTCTTGTTCCAAGAAGTGACAGGTAGGTCACGCTGTAGCTTATTAAAGCCCAAATGGGGAATGAAGACACATTTAATAGAGTCCACATTCCAAAACTAATATTGTTATATGGACAGCAGGGGAACATGCTGCCTTCAAAATCAGGTACACACATCACCAGCAAGCATCACGTATTTCAATGAGAAATCAATTGAAGTCCGAGTTGAAAGAACTACATGCTACAGGTTGATTCTTTTTCTAGTGAGGGCTTTTAGCAGATAACGGGGAAGCCTCTGCATGGTTCTCACCGAAGTTGGCCATGCCATGTCCTTACTGTAGCTGTATTTGTACCCAGCCTTTAGCTAGCACCTGCTTGCACCCTCTTGCTGAGAATAGGTTTTGTGAAGATGCCAGACTGTGCCCGGGTGCCCTGAGAAGCAACACTTGCCCTGGCCTTTTAATGTTTAAACAGCTGTGCTGGATTTGCCAGAGGGTGTCTGACAGAGCTGTTAAAAATTGATCCCTGAGTAAACAGCACCAGTGCTATTTACTCCAATTCAGCTGTGATAATTTACACCATCTGAAGAGCAGCGTAATCCTCCACTGGCAAATCTCTGAGATGCTACTGACTAACAGAAGGATCCTTGTGGCAAGGGGAGTACAATTTCCCCCTCACTAATGACTCTGGACAAGAGAATAAAGATACCACACAATTTAAAATAGAAGGAATTAACTCAGAGAGAAAACATAATGCACCAACACAGTAGTCACAGGCTTGTGCCAATGCAGGCCACCCATGTATGCTGACATATGGTTGACATATGATGTTGGTTACACTCATTCAAATGAAACTGCTAGACATTAACAGAGGAGAGGTATGGAGTTTAACCTTCTCTCAGGTCTGGTCACACTCCTACTTTGTTGGTTTTTTTCCTGTTGCACAAGTTGTAGACGCACCTCAAGGAATATCCATTTGGAAACATGCTAGAGGGAAGGGAAACAGTATAATGTTCAGGACCACAAATGTCTATCTTCTAGAAAAGTGTGATTTCCTCCCTGCTCCATTTGAACAAGGTTAGCTGTATCTGCAACTACCCGCTCACCTTTTCATTATTAGTGGATATGCTGCTTCAAATACGGCTCATCTGCTTTGCCTGGCTAAGTGTGATGATTGCTCAGTATCTATCAGTACCCATTCTCTTGGTCCTTTCTCTCTATTGTCCTGCTATTAACTTACCAAATGACACACGCCTTAACATTCCTCTTTATGACATATCTGTTGCCTTGTCATTCTTATTCTTCAAGATACTGCTTCTGTGTCTTGACCTTGATGTCTTCAAAACACCTAGAATAGAAAAGAGACACATGTAGATCGCCTGATTCATCAGGTTGAATTTTCTGTTAAATTAGTGACTTCCTGGAATTAATCCTTAGAACACGAGCACACCAGGAATTGCTAGTCAAGTAAAACATTTAAGATGTGTATACAGTAAATCTCTGGAGTTTCTAAATGGGTTAGTAAAATCAGGACTTCAGGGCATGTAGAACAGCAATTTCTTACCTACTGCTTCCTTATAAAACTCAGCAAAATGGCAATGCTTGTGATGGCATTCAGAATTTTGGAGATAGTTTTACTTTGCTGTAAACCTATTTGATCCAGTCATCTTTTTTTTTGTCATGCTGCAGACAAATATGCTCAAATTAATTAGCATAGTTCAAGTTTACTAGGAAGTGTAAGTGTCCATTTTAAAGAAGCTAAAATTGATGCAAAGTTTCTTGAGTTCATTAACTACAAACCTTCACCTGATTCTACTAGCAAAAGTTTCAGGCTCTCAAAGCATATGTAATGTGGCAACGTTTGGTTTTTTTTTAACTTTGGCTGGTTCAGATAATTTCACGTTTGGTATACATGATAATGGTGTAAGACACATTGACATCACTACATGTTTATAAAAAGAACATACAAACGCACAGTGACATTTTACACAGTGGTTGCACATAAGACACTCACAAATTTCAAGTCTGATGCTGTGCGGTGCCGCGTACTCTTAACTCTCATTAAGTTCAATGTGAGTTGAGAGTGCTTCGTGGTTCAGGTGCTTGGACCCTCAGTGAGGCTCTGCACAGTAAGGAATTATACCAACATTCATGTCTGAGCTGAGAGTAATTTCTCCTTTCTAGTACGTGTATTTCTAATTGCTGGATTAGTACAATTGGCTGATAATCACAGTAATATAAATGATTTTCTGGTACTGAAGTGCTCCTTCTGAAAGTTAATAAAGCTCACTCAACATCGCCTACAGTTTTACAACACACTGTAATGGAATAAGGTAATGAGTACAATGTGAGTATAGTACAAAAGCCGATGTTAAAGTTAAAAATGGATCTAGGATAGTGCTGTTCTTGAATACAAGCAGTACAAGGTATGAATTACTTCTTTAAACTGGGTACAGGAGTTAATCTGTGAACAACGCAGCCCAGCTTACATTCAGGTTCACTCCTGATTTTTTTCCCAAGATTTGCTTCCCACCCTTTTCTTCCAGTTGTTTTGTATGTGCTTATCCTTGTTATTTCCATGAAGGTGATCATGCTTTTAATTTACATCTTCCAGATTTCTACTGGAATTTGGTTGTTAAAATGGTTTTATAAACTTCTGTAAGAATGTGATATAAGGACACAGCAGAAAACCAACTCTATTTAAAAATTACAGCACAAATCCCAGGCCAATTTGAAACTTTGAGGAATGTTTAGGCCTGTAACATGTGAGACTTGTCTCCTGCAGAAGTTGAACACCTTAAAAATGTATTGGTGACTTTAAATTGTTTTCACCATCTGCAAACAGAATTTTATTAAACCTCATTATTCTGGGATCCATACATGTCTTGTATGCCCATTAACGATGAGTTTGTTGATGTAAGGGCACATTAATTGTACCTGTAAGACCTCTAGTCCCTTGTTTTTCCCTGCATGAATAAGACAAAGCCATATTTAAGGAGAAATTGGCGTTGTCTACCTGTAAACGAAGATGACCTGAAATGCAGCCTCCTAAGAAGTTGATGTTAATTGGCAATGCCAAATCCTCTTTACAGTAGTGGCATTTTCACCAACTGTATGGTGGATTTTGCGATTAAGAACACACAAAGAATTATTCTTTTCTTGTGTAACATTTTAATGTCAATAAAAAGTGGTTTTATAGTTCCAGATTACAAATAAAAAAATATTTCATCTTGACCCTTTTGCTATTTTCCCTCAGGGAAGTCTTCAAATTTTAGTTAGGAAGTGTTAAAAACACGAGGTGGATGGATGCTCGCTCTACAGAAAGCTGAAGGACTCCCTCCCCATTTTGCCATCCTGGATGTTTTGAAATGGAAGGTTTTGCTCCAAGTAAGCCCGAAGAGTGTACTCTCTCTCTCGTGGCAGGTGAAACCACGGGGGCATACACCACCACCGGATCCTTTCGAGCTGAACGCAGCTGGAAGGGTACTAAAAGGAGCGAGCCAAGCGCCTCTCCAACTACTGGGCTGCATCAAGAAGGCACAACATAAGCAATGGTAAAGTCAGTAAACAAAATTTTACTGTAATATTTCATAACACAGATACTGTATTTCTCTTTTAAGTGTAAAGCTACCGTCTTACACAAGAAAGATGGACAGACCCTTTTCCAAGACTAATATGGATACAATAAATATGGAGTTTTACATACTAGATCTGTACACAGAAACTTTGTCCCACAGCCATAAAAATTTACATTTAACAGTGCAACATATAATTTAATCCTTTATTTATCTGACATAGGATGTTTACTTACTAAACACAAGCAACTACCTGGTTTTAATATACATATTTTATATATATATATTTTATATATATATATTCAACAATCTGTACAGGTTTCTAAACATAAAACTCCAAAAAGGCACAATCGTCTATACAACATGTACAAAAATGGCTGGAGCTGACAAGAAACAACAATTATTGGTCAAGAGTTCATGATTGCACGAAGATTAGTAATGGGTTTGTGTCAGAAAAATGTGCTTTAAGGAAAGGGAGGTTTGCAAAGAAACCTGTAAGTGTTATAAAAAAAGCCCCCCCCAAAATAAAAACACAACGAAAAACAAAAACTAGGTTGCTATTACAAGTCTATCCTCATCGTCACTGCTGCCATCGCTAAACTGCACCGTGTTTTGCCGCCGGGGCAAGGCGGCTGGCCTGTGTACCTGTCTGTCCGGGGAGACAGTTCGGTGGACCGGGGACTTGGTTAACGCGTCGGGATTCGCCTTGGAGCGGGGCTCCGCCGGGGCGGCCCTCTTCGCCTGGAGGGAAGGGACGTCGCGCTTTGGCTTGGCGGGGTTCGTGAGGTCAGTCTTTTCGGGATCCGCTTTCCCCGGACCGTCGGGTCGCTCGTAGTCGCTCGGCGGGGCGGGCTCGGGACGGCTCTTCCCGCCGTACCGCTGGCC